GTTGCGAAATGGGAGGGAAGTCGGGTGTGTGATAATTGCCTTTCCCTGAGCTGTGTAGCTGTGGAGGGAAGGGCTGCTTTAGGATTAGTTCATCTCGGGCCAGATAGGGGCATGGGACCTGTGTGATCCCATATGGAGCCACCCAGCTGGTGGCCTGGGTGTGAGGACTGGAACTGCACATAAGGAGAGCTGTGTTAGGAGTGAGGAATGCATAACCAGGCACAGTCTAGTGCTCAGAGGGGAGGTCCAGGGTGGACCGAGGCAGTGAACCATGTCAAGTTAAGAGAGTTCATGCCAGGTAGCCTCCGTTCTCTTGTGAAGTGGGAAGGGATATGTCTACCAGAAGAGAGGCACAGCTGGAGGCTTGCTGGCATCTGTATCTGGAATAAATGTGGGAAGGAGGAAGGGAGCTAGCGAGGGATGGAAAAGGAATGCTAAGCGTGAGTGAGGCATTGTTCTCAGCTTCCTTCTGCCCTGCTGGTCTTAAAGACAAACACACAGCCCTATCCCATACTCCTTTAAGGGATTTTACCACTAAACATCACTGCAGCGGTTCCTACTTGCATGCTGCGTGGAAACAGCTTTGGTGATTCGAATGTATTCCCTCAGAAATCTTAACAAGTGGTGATGATGAGCTGAGGGAAATGAGAGTTGGAGCTGTGGTTGCGGGTGAGGAGTTGGTTCAATGGAACTGCATTGTTTGAGTTTCAGCTTCAAAGCATCCAGTTGATAATTCAATAAAAGGGAAGTATTGGGTCAGGAGACTGACTCTCACCTGGTAAAGTGCTTACCAGACAAACCTAAGTTTGATTCTCAGAACCCATGGATGAAAAAAAAAAAAGGCAGTTCTGGGAGTCAAGAGACAGGCAGCGCTCTGAGGCTCACTGCCCAGCTAGTGTAGTTTACTTGCCTAGCTGCAGGCCAATGAGACAGCATGTCTCAAAAACAAAACAAAACAAACAACCAAAAAAACCAACCCCCCCCCAAAAAAAAACAAAAACAAACCAAAACAACAAAACCAGGGTCGATGGCTCCTGAGGAATGACACCTAAAAGTTGTCTTCTGGCCTCTGCACACCTATGTGCCCTCACCTGTATACACAAAGGGAATGCCTTCTTTCTTTATTATCCTCTCTTTTATTCAAGTCATTGAATACCATTAGATATCTCTTCACTATGCACTATCTCTACTAGATATTATTTCCTACTGAACAAGGAGCATCCCATAGCACCCCAACTTAGGATTTTTAATAGATATCCTTGCCTTCCTACTGGCTCACATCTGTCTCCCGACAGAAAGCCTGGTATACAACTGACAAGCGGCAAATGTAGGATGTATTTGTTGTTGGTTCTGGAATGAAGGCGTAATCAGCTCCTTTTGCTATTTCCAGGGCCACCCCTCCAGAGAGTGAGTGTCCTTCTGCAGGAGGAAGGCTGTCATAGTGAGAGGAGAGGTCTAGGCTAAGATCAGCTCCTGAAAGTTTGTGCCACCTTGTGGGGAAAGGACTAGCAAGCATTGTCATACTCAGCAAGACGGTGGAAGTTTCTTTAGCATCCACAGTTCCTGTGAATCCAGACAGCTAATTATGTGGTAGAATTCATCTCTTAGCGTCTTGTTCATTTCTCCTGTCTGTTTCAGCTGCTCTTTCTGGGACAGCTCCCTCTAGGACTGCTTCCTAGCTTCCTACCAGCTTCTGGCCACATGTAGAGGTGCATGAATGAGGCTTAATGCTTCTCGGCTCTTTCCGTGATCGCCTATGCAAGTGATTGCCAAGTCCTCAGAGGCATCATTTGCTCTGTCCATTTTTACCATTCCATTGTCTGATTTAGGCACCTGAAGTGAACGCACGGGGGCAACTGCTTCTACAAAGAGGCCTTATAGTTTTGGAGGGGGGGCATTTGTAATACTCTTGATGAGTCCTTGATTTGGCATGACTGATTAAACAAGCAGCTGCTTATTAAGAAGCAGAGCTGAGAGTAGAACAATTTAATTAGCTTATGTCTGCTGAGCCTTTAATAGAAGTCACAGCTTGAATATATGGTGCTTTTTGTTTTAGTTATAAATGAAACTTTTTTTTTTTGCAAAGAAATATTCTCATCATATAACCCAAGAAAACAGAAAATAAGTCTGTTGAAAATATAAAATATTGGGGTTTGGAGACATGACTCCTCAGTTAAAAGCACGTATTATCCTTGCAGAGGACCTGAGTTCTAATCTCTGCCCACATGTGATGACTCAAAACCATTCATAACTCTAATTCCAGGAGATCTGATGTCCTCTTCTGGCCTCTGCAGGCACCAGGCATGCACTGGGTGTGCAAACATGCGGGCAAAACACTAATACACATAAAATTATAAATATATATGTATATATATATGTAATTCATCCACTATAACAAATAATTCATAAAATCTAGGACTTGGAGGAATAATGTAGTTTTAAAGATTTTTATTTAATGTGTGTCTGTGTGTGTACACTCTCATTTGTGTGAAGGCATGCATGTGGGGGTCAGAGGACAACTGGGAGTTGGTTCTCTCCTTCTACTGTGTGGATCCCAGGATTGGAACTCTAGTGTCTTTGAGGTTTGGTGAAAAGTACTTGTACCCACTGAATACCCTTCTGAGCCCATATTCCATTTCTCTCTTTCTTCCTTTTTTCTTTTCTTCTTTTTCTTCTCTGCTGAGACAGGGTCTTTTTACATAGACCAGGCTGGTCTTGAACTCACAGAAGTCTACCTGTCCCTGCTTCCCTAGTTCTGGGATTAGAGGCTGGACTGCTGGGAATAAAGGCATGCATTGCCACGCCTGGCCCCATGACACATTTCTTAATGGTGAATTGTTGGAGTGCTTTATTTAGTGTACTAGTTAATTAATAATTCACAAACCTGGTGATGTGTGATAAGTTTTATGACAACTTTTAAGAAGCATTCAAGAAATGCTCGTGTATACATGGAATTTTAACAAAAGTCTGCCAGCAGCTCCTGCTCCAGGGCCAGCATGCCAGCCTTCAGGCCAATCACCGTCTTCATGCAGTTCAGAGCAGTGCTTCTCAACCTTCCTAACACTGCCACCCTTTAGGGCAGTACTTCGTGTTGTGCCATAAATTATAACTGTAGTTTTGCTTCTGTTATGAATTTTAATGTAAATATCTGATGTGCAGTCCCCAAAGGGATTGAGACGCACAGGTTGAGAACCACTGGCTTAGACTCTTAGTGCCTCCTGGTTATTGATTCCATTTTCTTTAATTAACTGTCCACCTGGCCACCAGGTTTGTGTTTGCTTTACCTTTGGAAAAGCACCTTTAATTACATTGCACATAATCAAGTAATAACACGTGTATTTGATATATCAAGCTTACTTTTATATATTACTTGGTTAATATTAATAGTAAGCCTAAGCTAAAGGGCCACAAATTTAAGTTTTTAATGCCCAGCACACACACACATTGAAATAAAAAAAATATAAGAAGTAAATGAGCAATGAAGTTAATGGAGTCTTACAGAAAAGAATTGCAATATTAATAATTTTACCAAGCATACACCCATAGAGAAGCTGTGACGGGGGCGAGTTGGTAATTCATTGCAGACATATGAATTCTGTCACAAGGAGCCCCATGGGAGACTGATTCAAATTAGGATGTCCTGGTTGGCAGGGGATGGAGTGGGGTTATTTCTAGCTCAGCCACCGACTTGGTTTTTCTCTGGTGAATTGGCTTTAGTAAGTGACTTTATTTCTTCAAATTAGGAGCTTGAAAATGTATATTGATTCATTTCCCTCTCATCTGAGGACCAGTCCCATCAAAGATAGAAAAACACTGTACTGCTGGATATGAGTCAAATGCCTTAGCACTTTTTGGGCTGAATGTACCTAAGATTTTTTCCCCTTGTGAGACAGGTCTCAGAAAATGATATGGCTATATGACCTTGGGTGTCCTGGAGCTCAATATGTAGACCAGGCTGGTCTCAAAATCCTTGAGATCTACCAGCTTCTGCCTCCTGAGTCCTGCAATTGAAGGCATGTGCCATTATGCCTGGCCTTAAGATAAAAGTTCAGTTCAGCAATGTAGAAAACACAATTCGAGAGTGTGTGTGTGTCTGTGTCTGTGTGTGTGTGTGTGTGTGTGTGTGTGTGTGTGTGTGTGTGTGTGTATGCATATTGCTATTCTTTTCACTAACTGTCCCTAAAACCTAAAGCTCATATATTATTTTAATAAACGATGTGGTTTTTAAAAAAGATTTATTTGATTTTTAATTGTGTATGTGCATGTGTGTTTGTGTATGCTAGTGCAGTACCTGTGAAGGCCAGGTCAGATACTGTGGACCTGAAGTTACAGGTGGCTGGATGTCACCAGATGTAGGTGCTGAGTCACCAGATGCCAATTTGCTGCATGAGAGGCCAGGGTCATAACTGCTGAACCATCTCTCAGCCTCTGTGTTTCTTTTTAATTGCTTGTTTCCCTTTAAAATTTAATTTTTGCCTTCAATATTCTGTCTTGTAATACAACCAGTATTTAACTTGGTAATTTATCTTTTGTTTGTTATTGTAGGCAGTGTTTACAGATTTGGGGGCCTAAATATTTCTTAGAAATTACCTGGCCAATTCTCAATTTATAGATGAGAAAATTGAGTCAAAGAGATATCAGAACAGTATTGTTCACAGAATAATTTCAATGTAGCAATTGAAATTTCCTCCTTATGTTAAACTCCTTAGATAAGTTTGAATTGTGATATCAAAATGTTTTTTAATGATATGGAGATCTTTAAGGTACTAGGGGGTACCTTTAGATGCTTTAAAAAAAGTATTTTTGTTTTAAATAACAAACATGACACTTGACACACAGATAGTAAATGAACAATAAACAATTTTTGGTTTATTTTCCTTTGAGAATTTTTATATTTTAATTAAAAATACTGAAATAAATGTATACTTCTTAAAAATTTAAGACTATTGTAGGCTTATTGTGGGATAGCAACTTAGAGCCATCCTTTCTCTCCTAGCAGGGTGAAGAACTATGGAAGCCAACACCAAACTGGTCATCGGCATTGTTTGTAGCAGCTTTGTTATCTTTCAGATTCTTTTCCATTTTGTAAGTTACTGGTTTTCAGCAAAAGTTTCTCCAGGTTACAATAGCCTTAGCATCGAGAAGAAGATTGAATGGAACTCAAGGTAAAGCCATGAAAATGTGATTGGTTGACTTAAAAGTAGCTTTATGAAGCAAAACTCTTCCTTTAGGATCTTAAGAAACTCAAGGTCAAATTTTTTGTTTGATGTTGGAAAGGAAGAAAGACAAGATCTCATACAAGCAAAGTTTAAGAATTCTTACATCAGATGATGCTGGGGCTGGGGGTGGCTCAGTGAAAAATTCACATAATCACATATCCTTTTGTGGTGATATTGAAAGAAAAAAAATTCTTGGTGTTCTGATAGCCAATGCGGGTTAGCCACATGCAGTTTGATTGAATTCTACAGACTAGAGGGCAGAGTGTATGGTCTATACCTTATCAATAACTTCTAGCTATAATTTAGTACCTTCTAGATTTATTCTTTTTTTGTTTTTTTTTAAAGATTTTATTTATTTATTTATTATGTATACAATATTCTGCTTCCATGTATATCTGCACAACAGAAGAGAGCACCAGATCTCATAACAGATGGTTGTGAGCCACCATGTGGTTGCTTGCTGGGAATTGAACTCAGGACCTCTGGAAGAGCAGTCAGTGGGCAGTCGTTGCTCTTAACCCCTTACCCCCCCCCCCCGCCCCCTTTTTTCCTTTTTTTTTTTTTTTTTTTTTTTTTTTTTGAGGCAAGAGTTTCTCTGTGGCTTTTTGGAGGCTGTCCTGGAACTCGCTCTTGTAGACCAGGTTGGTCTTGAACTCACAGAGATCTGCCTGCCTCTGCCTCTCAAGTGCTGGGATTAAAGGTGTGTGCCACCACCACCTGGCTAGATTTATTCTTTTAAAAATGTGTATTTTATGTACTATGGGTATTTTGTTTGCATGTATGTTTGTGTACCACGTGCTTGACTGGTGCCTGTAGAGGTCAGAAGGGGATGTTGGATCCTCTGGGACTGGAGTTACAAATAGTTGTGAGCCTCCACGTGGATGCTGGGAATCGAACTCCCATGCTCTGGAAGAACAGCCAGTACTCTTAACCACTGAGCCATCCCTTCAACCCATATATCATTATTTAAAAAACAAACAAACAAACTTTCTAACATTTGAAGATAGAAGGAGTGGTGGGAACGACAAATGGGAGAGACATAGATTTTCTGAGTAAAATTTTTTATTTATTTATTTATTATGTATACAGCATTCTGCTTCCATGTATATCTGCACAACAGAAGAGGGCACCAGATCTCATAACAGATGGTTGTGAGCCACCATGTGGTTGCTGGGAATTGAACTCAGGACCTCTGGAAGAACAGTCTGTGCTCTTAACCTCTGAGCCATCTCTCCAGCCCCTGAGTAAAATTTAAACTCTTCTTTTTGTTTCCCTTTCAATGTGGTTAGAATGCATAGAAACGTTTGAATCTTGGGTAGCTGCAAGCCAAAGAAGTAGGAAGGGTGCCGAAAGATAGCAACAGAGATGAAAATGAAGTTGGAAACTATTTTGTATTTTATTCAGTCTCATCACTGGTCTGTGGCACAGGAAATTATAATGTGTGAAACCAAATTCTGCTTTGAAGAAGAAATCTGGCCTCTTACAAGATTCATTTAGCTGTTCAAATAGCATTTTCTCATCTCTCTTTCCTGCTTCCTGCTCCAGCCTGTATACTTGGAACTCAGAGATAAAGAGTACAAAGGAAAGTTGGGCTGTTTCTAAAGTACATATTTATGTCTTAAAACTCAGCTTCTAGCCATGACATATGCTCCAACAGCAGACAACACTTTTTTGCCTTCTTTCCCTTTGGTGTTTTTTTTTTTTTTTTTTTTCTACTATAGGAACTACAGTTTTGCTTTTCCAGGAATATGGTTTAAAAAAGATAACAAACTCAACTGTTTACCAACAGCAGCTTCTGCAAGCATAGACTTTTATTGTCTCTCTCTCTTTCTTTCTTTCTTTCTTTCTTTCTTTCTTTCTTTCTTTCTTTCTTTCTTTCTTTCTTTCTTTCTTTCTTTCTTTTTCTTCCAATTTTGAGATGGAGTCTCATGTATCCCAGGCTGGCTTGCAACTAACTCACTATGAAGCCCAGAATAGCCTCCTGATTTTCCTGCCTTCACCTTCCCGATGCTGTAGGCACATTCAGCGGTATAAGTGAAGGTTCTAATACAGACTCATGGGTAGTCCATAGCATCTGCCTCCCCATTTCTGTTCAGTATAGCAAGAGCTTTTGACTAAATGTCATTTCCATTATCTGAGAACTTACTGTACTTTCCTTTACCATATAACACCTCAGGAAGACTAACACTTGAAGCCTGTATTAAAAATTAGATTTTATAAAAGGAAACCTAAAAGATTTTATCCTTTCTGTATATTTGTATGTATGTGGGCACATACACCATTGCATGTGACACACATCAGCAGAGTGTCTCCCTCTACCGTGTGGATCCTGGGGACTGGGCTCAGGTCCTCTGGGATTTCAGCAGCAGGTGCTTTTTACCATCCTGGGAGGGAGCCAAAAAGGAAACTTTTTGGACATATGGTTACTAATCACTGTTTCAGGACTTCAGGAGAGGTTATGTTTTTCTTTCATAGGATTTTGAATAGCTGAAGGAAGTCCTCAGTGTGGGTGATTTAGATGCAGGGTTTGAATGCCAGGTGGTAGTGGTGCAAACCCTCTCCTGCAGCTATACTGCTGTGGATGGAACTTGGAGGATTCAGGGTTGTGGCCTTATCACCTGTGCCAATTTAGGCAAGATGCTATCAGTGGTGTCATCAAGTATGTTTCCACTGCAGAACCTTAACACAGAGAAGTGATTCACCCAGGATTATAGAACTTGTTCATTTGAAAATAAAGCTGTGGACCTATGATTTCTAAATGACTACATTATTATTATCATTATTGTTATGTTTCTTGAGACAGGGTCTTACCATATAACTCTGACTGGCGTAGAACTTGATACGTAGACCAGGCTGCTCTCAAACTCTCCATCTGCCTCTGCCTCCTAAATGCTGGGACTAAAGGTGTGCACCACCACCCTGGCCCTTAATTATTACTTATTAATGGTGCTGGCCATTGAACCTAGAGCCTTATGCATGATAGGCAAGTACTCTGCTGCTGAGCTATGCCCCTGTCCCCTCTAAATGACAGTGTTTAGTCATCCTCAGATGTCCTCTACGCCTAAATTTCACCCTTTCACATTTAACTTTTAATGCTTTGAGGTGTGAATTTTTTTAGGATGAAAACTGTCTCGGAGGAACAAGACATTTATTGCAAGGAATCTGAGCTCTTTGTGTGTGCCTTGTTTCATTTCAGGGTAGTATCTACCTGCCACTCTTTGCTGGTTGGGACTTATGGCTTATACCTCTTCTTATTTGATGAGCCTACTATAGCTGATCCACTCTGGTAAGCTGTTTCTTTCCAAGCTACTCATTTTGATTTATGCTTTTCTATGAATTATTAATGGCCTCATTTGCATTACTTAAAAACATATTGACTATCTTTGATGTATGCCTTATTTAAGTGGCTTATCGTTAGTTCTGCTTCAGCCAATTATATTAAAATGATTTTAGATATGAACATAAATGTTGAGGGCCATTTTGCTTTTATACTGCAATTGCTACATAAAACAAAGAGAATATAAATAAAATGGGCCATTTTGCTTTTATACTGCAATTGCTACATAAAACAAAGAGAATATGATTAGTTGAGCAAAACCAAGGTATTACAAACACTGTCATGAGCAAAACAGTGTCATCATTGATTGAGCTAGGACCATCAGCTGGAGTGATCACTAAAGACTTGCCTTTAAACTTGTGTGTGACCCATTGTTTGCCACCAAAGAATTGGAATGAGACTTACAGATGGCTAATAGGAGAGGGATTAAAATCACACAAGAAACACATAAATATGATGATTTAGTACACATAATAATCTTAGGTAACCCTGAAGATGGCTCTTTCTGGAAGCATTAACTATGGTTGCAATTGCAGAAAATTTGCAGACTGCTGGAGTTACTCCGAAAGGTGTAGGTCAGCTTAATGTAAGGAGTAGGTGTGTGGGAAGTACAGATGTGAGGTGACTGTTCTGTGAAATACAGGACAATTTACCTAAGAATTTAGACCACCACTGTGTGACTACAATGATACTCTCCCCCGTAAGTGTAAAATGATCTCTTTAGGATTATGCCACCTGATTCATTTTCATTTTTATCAGGAAGATTTTTTTTTCAAAATGACTCAATTCAAAATGACTCAAACCTTGACCAGATTTTTTATTCGTAATCTAAATAATTTGTAGCTTTATTTTGCCCCCATATTTATTTTTCTAACATGACTGTAAATAGAACCAGTCCTTTGAGAAGTACATTTTATTACAAAAAAAAGATGTGGCTCCTTGGTCAAGTTTTGCTTTAGTAAACTTGAACCTAGAGTGAATTTTGCTGTTTTCTAATTTGGTTCTATGATGTATCCCAGGTCTAATTTTCCTGGATTGTATTTACAGGTCAAAATGAATGGAGAAAATATGACTTTTTTTCCTGCATTCCCATTTTAGTCCAGATACTACCAGTTTTATTTTGGGTTAATTTTAAAGTAATACAAGTTACAAATCCCATGAAGGATGGAGTGGAGCAAATATGGGCCACCCTAGCTAGTGAGGTATTCAGCAGGTTATGTCCTGCCCAAGCAAGGTAACCTGAGTTTAACTCCTGGAGTGCACCTAAAAGGTGGAAAGAAAGAGCAGGCTCCTGAGAGTTGTCCTCTGACCTACACCCCCCCACACACCACACAGTAGCATGTGCACACCTATACGCACATGGATGTCACATACTCGTATGATCAATACACATATACTACTAATAATAAATGAAATAGAAAATTTTAAAGTAAATTCATTATATTGATATGCATTTGTGGTCCTGTTCTGACCATATTCTCAGTTAATAAGCAAATCCCTCTCATCTGCAGTAATAATGATAGAACTGTATTGCCTCAAAAATCAAAGGTGGGATAGATGTTTTCTTGATTTATTTGAGTCCCTGATAAGTAAGGAAATAGTTTTTATGTGAACAAATCATATGAAGACACATTTATAAGTCTTTTTGTAAAATTACGTTTGGTACCTTAAAAATCATATATATGTATATGTGTGTGTAAAAAATTATGTCTGTGTGCAGTCAGAAGTATTAACCTAATACTGAGCTTAGATAGGTTTAGAACAGAGTGCAAAATTGTTAGTGATCCACTCCCCACATAGGCCAGTGGGTCCTTAGGCACTTTCCAGAAGTGCATTAAAACTAGTGGATGCTAAAAAAAAAAAAAAAAAAAAAAAAAAAAAAAAAAAAAAGAAAAAAAAAAAAAAAAAAAAAAAAAAAAAAAAAAAAAAAGAAACTGGTGGATCCAGCCTGTGCCTTTAAAGTAAAAACACCCGGCGTGTTATGCCTGGGGATTTGGAGCATCTGCGATAGTTCTTCACATTCCAGAAAATGCATAGGATTTCAGCCTAGTTTAAATGCCAAGAATCAGAATCAGTCTGGAGTCTGGCTTAGCCTTCGAATAACTCTGTTGGAAGTATGGGCAACAGGTCTTCTGATTAAAACAGTTGGTGCTGTGTCGTGTGTGTGCTGCTGTGTCCTTCGATCCACGCAGGGAAAGTGGAAACAAGACATCAGGAATTCTAGTTAAAGGCTGGCCCTAGCAAGTCCGCGGCCAGCCGGGACCACATGAAGCCTTGTCTTAATAAATCAGATGAAAAAAAAAAAAAAACTGTCCGTATGTTTAAGAAGATAATGTGGTGGGTTTTTGTTTTAAATATGTATAGGGGTGATCCAGCGTGCGTGAAATTGAATATTGCAACTGCTTCAGGCTACCTCGTTTCTGGTATGTGATAGCACTTTTTCATTGCTCATTACTTTTCAAACTACTCATGGAGTGATGCAAAGAATCTATTGTTTATGCTTTTGGTTTATTTGAAAAACAGCTTTAAAGCTCCTCCTGTGGAGGAGCTGGGAGGTGGTGGCGCACATCTTTAATCCCAGCACTCGGGAGGCAGAAGCAGGCAGATCTCTGTGAGTTAGAGACCAGCCTGGTCTACAAGAGCTAGTTCCAGGACAGCCTCCAAAGCCACAGAGAAACCCCTCCTCAAACTACCCTCTCAGAAAAAGAAGAAACCTACAAAACAAAACAAAACAAAACAAAACACAAACAAAAACACTGTTCTTACACAGAGCAGGACTTTCGCTGTTTTTTCCAACCCTGGACACAGGCTAAGAAAGCCTGGAGACAGGGTTTCTCTGTGGCTTTTCTTCCAAAAACCAGAAGAAGAAAAAAAAAGATATGTAGAGGAAAAAAAGAAACCCTTCAATGCTGGCAAGCCTGGAACTTAGTTTTTGGCTTTCTAGACCAAGAAAGGACTTAGTTGCAGAGTAAGGCCTCAAACAGCTAAGGCCTTAACACTTACAAAACCAAAAAAGCAAAACAATGGCCTTTATCTTTCCCAAAGAGCCTATTAGTGTAATTACTATAAGGCCAATGATGGTTAAACCTGTGCCCCTCACTAGCTGGGGCCCGTGAAGAATTTTTATTATTTGGGTAAAGTTTGCACGTGTAAGCTGTCTAGACATGATCAGTTAAGGTGTGGACTCTGAGTACACATTCTCCTCTGCTCTTTTTTTTTTTTTTTTTTCATGTTTGGGTTGGCATTTTTTACAGTGAGCACAAGGGAAGTAAATGATACACCATATTATCTGCAGTTAGATTTGGATTCTCTTTTGGATCATCAAGCACAGTTTGGACATTTATATAAGAACCCTGTTTCATAGTTCTAAAACTTAACTAAATAACTGAAAGAAAATAAAAGTCAATAGATAACAATGATAAAGACAAGGGATGAATTTCAGAAAATTAATGTGCTGAGAAGATGTGAATTGTAGCAAAATAATTATATTGAGATAAGTAACTCTTTAAGAGGAAGGGTTGAAGTTGTAGAGAAATGATGGACTGTTGAATTATTTGATAACTCAGTTTTAAAAAGGAACTCCGTCAACACATTGGGAAAGGATTTCCTCTTTTGACAGAAAATGATGTCATTGACACAATTGCACAATTCATAGTATGTCACATTCCTGGGTCAATGATACTGTCATTACAGAATAGTAACTCTCAGGCAATCTTTTTATGTTAGTGTGGTTTTGTTTTTGAAACAGGGTTTCCTGTAGCCCAGGCTGGTCTCAAACTTGCTATGTAGCCAAGGGTATCCTTGCCCTTAGGATGCCTCAACTTAAAATTGTTGGCATTATAAGCAGGCACTACCATGTAGCTCTTGTGGTGCTGGGCACCAAACCCAGGCCTTTATGCATGCTAGGCTAGGCAAGCACTCCACAGAGTCACCTCCTCAGCAGCTCCAGAATCCCGAACAGAATAAAATTATTATTAAGACTCTTCCAAATAGCAATCCATAAAACACTGAGCACACAAAGTAAGGTCATCTCAGTCTCTGTAGAATAGACTACAAAATTGTCATCTTGTGACCAAGGAAGATGCAAACAAGACATATAGGGAAGAAGATGGATATATTAAAAGAAAGGTATCAGGTAATTAGTGATATGCTTACATTGTTTTTCTTAGTTATAGTATTTAGTTTCTCTTTAAAATTTACAACTTGAGTCCTCTTTCAAAATGTTTATATCTACTTTTGTGCTAGTAACTTTTGCTTTTAAAAATGAAATCTCATCTACAGCAATACCATCCTGAATGCACCCGAGCTCGTCTGAAGCTAAGCAGGGTCAGGCCTGGTTAGTACTTTGATGGGAGACCACCTGGGAATACCGGATGCTGTAGGCACAAAAAAAAAAAAAAAAAAAAAAAAAGAAAGAAATCTCTATATTTTAAAATTCTGATGCCACAAGTGTGAACCCATGGTGGCCCCAGTCTACATTTGATGTTCAACCATTTGCTAAAGAAAATAGTTGTGCTAATACTTTGAGCAGTTTCTATTTTGTTAAACTAAACCATTTTTTGAGTCATGGTACATAGACTGAATCTGAATGAGAAATGCTTTCTCTTTATTAGTAGGCTTTTTGAACAGTCATAGTTCTTGGTGGTTTTACTAGTTTTCATTAATGTTTATCTGTATCTTTTGATTTTTTCTTTTCCTGTAGAGGACATGGTGAGGTAGTATATGCTTCTAATTCCAGGATCAGGAGATCCAAGTGTACCTTGGCTACACAGCAAATTGGAAGCCAATTAAGCTACATAAGCTTGTTCTCAAAAATAAAAAAGTAAACACATAAATAAATATTAGTATTTTAAGTGAAGGGATAGTTTTGTACCTTTTACTGATACTTTGTTTGTCGTTTCATAGGGCTAAAAATCAATAACATAAATTACATTCAACTTATTTTTGATTGATCGTATTTTCATCTTGTGTAACTTTGGCAACAAGCTGTTTGCTTATACTTCTTAGCAGTTGTTAGTACTATTGGGCATGGCCACTGGGTTCTGAGGCTGAGAAGCTTCCCCTAGCTTGGCCCTTGTTCTGGGGGAGCCACAGTAGGGAGGGTGAAGAGGGTAAACAGGAGCTGAGACTTAATGGGAAAGTGAGTGGGGTCAGGGACTTGGAGGGAACAAAGTCCTGTGGTTTCAGAGTGCACAGCCAAGAGTTATCAGACAATATACTCAGAGCCAAACAGCTCAATGTGATGTCTCATTTTTTTTCTTGCAGATTTATTGATTATACTTTTGAATTGGAAAGTGATCGGTGATAAGTTTTTTGTAATTCACCATTGTGCGGCTCTAACTGCATACTTCCTTATGTTGGTGAGTACTAGCGTTCACAGTAGCCAGCCAGGAGACAAGGCTGCAGAGAGATGCTTAGGGCTGTATAAGTCTTTGTTTTGAGACAGGTTCTCTATGTGTAGTTCTGGCTGACTTGGAACTCATTATGTAGTCCAGGCTGACCTCAAACTGAGAGATCAGCCAGCCCCTGCCTCCCGGGGCCTGGGGTTAAAGGCATTCTATAAATCTCAATTCATGGAGGCCACATTCAAATGCATGCAGGGATCACTTTTATGATAAGTTAACACGCCGGGTGGTGGTGGTGCATGCCTTTCATCCCCGCAAAGGCAGGCAGATCTCTGTGAGTTTCAGACCAGCCTGGTCTACAGAGCCAGTTCCAGGACAGGCTCCAAATCTCCAGAGAAACCATGTCTAGGAAAACAAAACAAAGATAGGTTAACTTGTTTATTAACTGAAATAATAAATTCACATGTATTTTTCTACTAGTGTCTATTTGCTCTAGTTTGTTTAGCTTGGTTTTGGTCTTTTGAGATGGGTTCTCATGTAGTATAGGCTCGATGAACCTAATTTTGAACTACACCCTCTTCCACTTTCCCCCTTGCACTGGTCACACAAGTATATATTAAAAGGGAAAGCAGTTCATTACATTCCATCTTATCAAGGTGATTTAATGGTCATATGCATTTCCTCCAATGCTTATGGGTTCTTCTTATGGGTTCTTCTCTTTGTCTTTTTGTTACTGTGATGATAAAATTCATAGTAGGTAGCAATGAGGCTGAACTTACAATTAGGGTGTTTTGTTTTTTGAGAATTTCATGATTGAGTATACTGTATTAACTGCATTTCTCTCCCTCCTTCTCCCCATCCAATTTCCTCCGTCTTCCCTAAACTCTTGACCTTCCTGTCTTCACCTCTCAAGTGGAGGCATGACAGGCATGGGCCACCCCTCCTGACTTAGTGTGTCTATTTATATTCCTAAACCAAGTCAAGCATATGACACTAGTTACTCGAGTTTCCACTTAAAAAAACCATAGGACCTTGCAGATGTGGCGACTTGTCTTTCTAGAAGCATTTATGGTTTAACAGCCTTGGATAAATTTCTGTGTGCTGTGGGAAGAATAGAAACTGATGAAGTCAACAGGTCCCCTGTATGCGTGTGTAAGCATAGATATTGTGAACTGCTGTTCTGTCTTGACCTCTGAAATCATCAGCTTGGTAAATGGCTGGCTGTGCACAGATTGGCAGGTTGAATGCTTCATTATGTGAGATGAATACTGGTTTCCCTTTGGACTTTGATGCCTGCTTTTAAAAAATCAAATGCATGCAGTTGTTTTAAAGGAGAAATTATTGGTTGTCTTATCTAGTGAGTTGATTAGTGAGACCCATTGCAGTCTTGTTGTTTTAATGTCTTCCTTTGTTATGTTGCTTTAATATGAAATAAATATCTAAAGTGAGTCTGTAAATAGCAAAGCAAAATAAGAGAAAATGAAATGAAAAGATTTTTTTTGTGGGTGGGGAAGGGTTGGGATGGCATGCATCTCTGTATAGTTCTGGCTGCCGTGGAACTTGGCTATGTAGTACAAGCTGGTCTTGAACTCAGAGAGATTTGTCTACCTCTAGAGCTTCCCCCAAACTGGGATTGACGACCCAGTTATTGAGCAATCTGCAGTCAGAGTTTTAGTGCGGAAATATCAGCTCCCACAGCCTCATTGGGTCATTTAATTACACCAGTGAAAAAGATCAGTGATGGTGAAAAACAGAGAAAGGAGATGTCATAAACCTGGAAAGGAATGGATGCCCCAAGTCCATCTTCAGATTTCTGACGTGTGCTTTAACTAAAGGAAGACTTGGCAGGACCATAGGTATAAGTAGGCAGTTCTGGTCAATGTATGGCCCTTTAGATCACTGTTTCCGATCTGGTCCTGCAAGCTAGTCCTTTGAGAAGTGATCACTGTCACTGCTGAGGGGACTAATCTGGTTCATTGAACATGATTTCTATTGCTTAGGGTGACCTCACCATCATTACAACTGCCCTCAGTGGGTGGAGAGTCTGTCTTCAACTTGGCTGTTGCTCTGGGGTAGTTTTGTCCCCTCTTTTTGAAGGTCCTGTTGTTCCTAAAATCCAAGGCCACTGCAAATTTAGCATGACAGACACCTGTAGGTATCTTTGGGATCCTAATACTTTGTGCAATACCTGAGGAGATAGATGAAAAGTGAAGGTGGAGGTGCCAGGTCTCCATCGAGTTTTTAGTTACTTTGTGGGCCCAAGGGAGGAATTTAGCAAACACAGTTTCTAAGTGTCTGCTGTTAATAATCTTATACTACTTTGAATATACAAAGGGTTTTCCCCCTATGCAGTACACTTATAGCTTATTCTGTTACTCTAAGAAGGCTAACAAAGTAATAATTCTTTTTGCTGGAGTAAAATGCTACAAAATTCTTATTTTTTATAAGAATCACTATTTAGAAGCACTCTGACTTCACATGTCTGCAACTATTTAAAGATCTTAAATGATCTTGTTATTAATCAAAAAGTAAAGTAGAAGCAGGTTTCCACCAGGTTTTAAATATATCCTCCAGTGAAGAATAGTTTGAATAGCAAGATACTGATTTAAGATATTACAGGTTATACTTAGGAATTTTAAACACACACATATATACACGTATATTTATGCATATGGATATTTTACCTGCATGTGTATATATGTGCCACATGCATGCCTGGTGCTTGGGGAAGTTGGGAGATATCAGATCCCTGGAGTTACAGACAGTTGTGAGCCACCATGGGAGTGCTGGGAATTGAACATAGATCCTCTGCAAGAACAACATGTGTTATTGACCATTTAGCCATCTCTCTAGCACTTTATACCTAGAGGCAATGCCCTTCTGTGTGTGTCTGTACATGTTGTATGTTTATGTGTGTATATGCCTGTGGAAGTCTCAGGTGCTAACTTCCATGGTTTTGTTTTGTTTTTCTTTCTTTCTTTCTTTTTTTTCTTTTGGTTTTCGAGACAGGGTTTCTCTGTATAACACCTGGCTGTCCTGAAACTCACTCTGTAGACCAGGCTGGCCTCAAACTCAAGGATATCTACCTGCCTGCGCCATCACTGCCTGCCCCCACCCCTGGTTTTTGAGACAGGGTGTCTCACTGGCTGGCCACTGAGTGCTTGCGATCCACCTATCTCTTTGTCTCCCCAGAGCTGGGATTTTAAGTTATGTGACATCAGACCTGGCTTTTGTATGTATGGGTGCTAGGTATTAGCTCCTACTGCTTGGAATGTAAGGACTTCACTGACTGAGCCATCCCCCCCAGCCTTGGGTTATATAATATTTTGAGCTCTCTTTTTGTCATTCTCTTTACCACATTTACTATAATAATTTTTTTTCTACCAGAGAAACTTAAATGTTGGGAACTCTGCTTCTGTCTGTGCAGAGAGGCAGATATGGGACAGCTTTTTAAATTCAGCTTTCACTATGATAGAGGATGCTGATCTGCAAGGGAACAGGACAGATCATCTGTTACTGTGGGGATGGGGGTTGATTGATGCTTTAATGCATTTAAAAATACGTGTTTATTTTGTGTGTGTGGGTGTTTTGTGTCATGTATGTGTGTATGTTCTTGGTGCCCATGGAGGCCAGATGAAGCATGAGATTCCCCCAAAACTATAGTTACAAATGGTTGTGATCCACCTTGTGGGTGCTGGGAATCAAACCCAGGTCTGCTGGAAGAGCAGCAGTGCTTTTAGCCATGGAGCCATCTCTCCAGCCCCCTAATGCATTTTTTAAAGGGCACTTCCCTATACTGTAGTTGCCCATACAGATTTCTTTGGTGTGCTCGGGTTTTGTTTCTTTTTCTTATGACTCAGCGTGCTCAGTTTTCTTTTTTCCTTATAACTCACTGTATGGCTCCAGCCAAGCCGCACCTGTGTATAATTAGCTACAGTTCCTTCCAAAAACTGTAAACTTGAAAATCGTATGTGTACATCCTTTTCACCTCTGCATTGTTGCAGTGTCCTTGAGTCTAATTATTAAACCAGTCTGCTGCAATTTAGAAAGAAACTTTGGTTTCTAATGGATCTTCATGAATTTATGTTGATTGCAGTGTGTGTCTTAAGGGTCAGAATTTCTGTGTGGATTCCCTTTGTTTAATGCTTTACCTCAGTTTCTGTATTTTAAAAATACATTAAAGCAGTTGGGTATGAAGTCCTATTGAAAGTGGGAGACTTTGTTGTGCTGCATTTACCAAAGTGATAGTTTTCCGTAGACCTTAATGGACATAGCAGCTCATGCTTATTCTTATACTGGGGAGGTGGAGCCGAGTGGATCCTCTAGCCACCTAGTTAGCCAAAAGGCACGTTACAAACTAGCAAAAGACATTGTCTCAAAAACTAAGGGGAACTGTAACCGCAACAGACACCCAAGATTGACCCTAGCCTCTGCATGCAAGGATGTGGATACCTGCACACACACATGCATGGACATGTAAACATATACATATCATAAACATGTCCATAGCAGTGCCATGAAATAAATTCCACTCACTAGTCTTTTATGGTTCATGGAATGAGGAAGCAAAATCTTAAATGTTTTGTTTTTAGAGACAGGGTTTCACTGGGTAACCCGACTATTCTGGAATGTGCTAAGTAGACCAGGCTGGTCTTGAACCCACAGAGATCCACCTGCCTCTAATTCCTAAGTGCTGGGATTAAAGGCGTGCCTCACCGCACCCAGCTAAAAAAGATTTTAATAGTGTACTTAACAATATTCAACACATGTAAATACTGTATTGCCCTCCCATTTTTTTTCCCATTAAGATATCCTAGAGAAAAATATTTAGGGTCTGACATGATGGCTCAGACTTGGTTACAGAACTTGCTTTGTGAGCCCGAGGACTGAGTTTGGATCTCCAGAACCCACACATTGCCTGGGGCGTGCAGCAGCCCTCCTGGTAATTTTAGCCTTAGAAGGATGAGACAGGGGATCCCCAGAGCAAGTCTAGGTATCCCAGCAGCTCTTGGGTT